TGGTAACCACCAGTCTGCTCTCTGTATAAGTCTGTTTCAATTTTGTTCATTTATTTTTTAGATTCTACATGTATGTGAAATCATATGGTATTTGGCCTAGCCAGTTTGGTTCAGTGGGTAGAGCACTGGTCTGCAGACTGAAGGGTCCTGGATTTCATTCCAGTCAAGTGCACATGCCCAAGTTGTGGGCTCCATCCCCAGCTGGGGGCATGCAGGAGGCAGCTGATCAATGATTCTCTCTCACCATTGATGTTTCTATCTTTCCCTCTCCTTCCCTCTCTGAAATAAATAAACATACATTTTTAAAAAATCATATGGGCCGAAACCGGTTTGGCTCAGTGGTAGAACGTCAGTCTGCGGACTGAAAGGTCCTGGGTTCGATTCCCGTCAGGGCCATGTACATTGGTTGTGGGCACATCCCCAGTAAGGGGTGTGCAAAAGGCAGCTGGTCGATGTTTCTCTCTCATCGACGTTTCTAGCTCTCTGTCTCTCTCCCTTCTTCTCTGTAAAAATCAATAAGATATTAAAAAAAAAAATCGTATGGTATTTGTCTTTCTCTGCCTGACTTATTTCACTTTGCATAGTACCCTTTAGGTCAAATATGTCAAACTCACGACCTGCGGACCACAATGAATATTTTTTTGGCCCAGCCAATATAATGGTATGTAAGAAACGTTTTAATAAAAATTTTGTAACTTAATTTTTACAATGTCCTATTATACATCATTATTAATGACGAACTACAATGTTTGCTAATGACTGATTATTATAATCATGCTGCATTCATTTCCCTTACACGCCTTAGGCACTGACATACCATTTCTCTCCACTAATACCAGCAGCGAATATTTTAGCAGCCGATGGCCACATCTTTATAAGCTTTACGCTTATTAATTTGTGCAGTTATCCCGTGTCTGTTAATGTTCAAGAAAAAAATATTAATTTTTATTAAAATGTTCTATTATTTTATAACTCATTTATTTCAACCCTTTGTATTCAGCATGTCTCTGTCATGCTGATAAACCTTTCATGAAAATGGGAGCTTTTGGTTTTTTTGTGGTCCGCATACACTTACACCTTGTTTATCTGGCCTGCCTTACAGCCTTTGAGTTGGACATGCTTGCTCTAGGTCCATCCATGCTGTTGTAAATGGTAAGATTCCATTTTTTGAGGCTGAGTATTATCCATCGTGTGTATGAACCACAGCTTTTTTACCCACCCCAGGAGAGAGGTTTTTCTGTTTTATAGGGAAGAAAAAAGGCTTTCACTCTTGTTAAAATGTCCCCTTTTTGCTTTCTCATGACTTCTCTGACCTTTCCCATGACTCTTTTATTTGACACACACACACACTCGTTTCCAGTGAGATACCTGGGTCCTTTCCATCTGAAACCTCTGTAATGGTTTGGCTGACTGTTGGTATTCTTAACACTTTTTAACGTTGGGGAGCAATAATAACTGTGGGAGCAAAACCTCCATTAAACATAATATTCGGCCGGAACCGGTGTAGCTCAGTGGATAGAGCCTCGGCCTGCAGACTCAAGGGTCCCAGGTTCGATTCCGGTCAAGGGCACCTTGGTTGCGGGCACATCCCCGGAGAGGGGTGTGCAGGAGGCAGCTGATTGATGTTTCTCTCTCATCAATGTTTCTGGCTCTCTGTCCCTCTCCTTTCCTCTCTGTAAAAAATCAATAAAATATATATTTTTTAAAAAGAATATTCGCAGGGTGTGCTTTTTTTCTTCCTGGTTAACCCCCTAAATTTTAACTCATGGATACCCTATGGAAACCTTCCTAGAATATTTTCATACACTTCGTTCAACCACCAGTGACCTAGTTACCCTAGTGAAGTCCGCCCCCTCATCCCTCATCCCCCCCCCCTCCCCCAGCTGGCGACCATGTTTGGCTTCTCCTTTGCTCCTCTCCTCGCGGGCAAAAGCCGTTTCAGGATTCCTAGGGCTCAGCGACGAGAAGTCCCCACAGCGCCCCCTCATTTTGGGCCTCCAGGCCCTGAAGGGGTGGCGGGGCGGCGGTCCTGGGGGGCTCGGGGAGCTGGGGGCCCGGACAGGGGTCTGCGCGGGCGGGTGGCCGGGGCCTCTGAGGCGCTGGGATGGGGACGCCCTGCTAGGCCCGGGAGCCACGGGAGCCCCGTCCTCCATTGGCGCCTCTACCTCCACAGAGCCGAGCCGCAGCAGCTCAGACAGGACAGCAGCACCGCCAATGCCCCAGCGGCCATGGCGCCCCGAGGCTCCGCGCAACCGCCCCGCCTCGCGGGTCCCGCCCACCCACTCACCCACCGCCAGTGCGCGTGCGCGTATGCGTGCGCATGCGCGTTAGCGGCCCGGCGCGGGCGCCTGCGCATGCGTGTCAGCGGCCCGGCGCCTGCAGGGGGTGCTTGGGTGGAAAATCTAAACCTGGCTGGGCAGAGGTGGGAGGGAGGGGAGGAGGAGGAGGAGGAGAGGAAGAGAGGAAGAGGGGGAGAAAAATGGGAGGAATCGGTCATGCCATCCACAAGAACAAATAAAATCTAAGCCAGGTTTTAGGAAAGGCAGAGCCATGCTTTTTTTTTTTTTTTTTTTTTTTTTTTTTTTTTTTGGAATGGACTAGCAAAACCACTTAAGAAAACCCGGGGTGAATGAAGATTAAAACTTTCCAGTTGGTGCATCTTTTAGACCCAATCTTCCTTGCCTGTGCTGCAATAACAAACGCGCACCTGGCCGTGCACACCAGGTGCAGGCACAATCTCTAGAAATGACTTTTAGATGGAACAGAAATGAGCAGTAACAGGTGCTTATTGAGCACCTACTGTATGCCCAACGCTGTCTCGTGCACTTGGGTAAAAAAAAAATAATAATAAATAAATAAAAAACAGAGAGTTCTGGTTTACAAAGGGGCTTGTAATCTTGTGGTAAAAAAAAAAAGATGAACACCGAAATTTTCCCACGCAATACTGTAATTCATCTGTTTACTTGTTGGTAGACCAGATAATCTGCATCCTGAAGGGCTGCAATTGTGTCTTTATTCCTCCTTATGTCATCAGGGCCTCATGCCAGAGCAACTGTGGCCTAGAAACACTACCTTAATTTATTGCAGGTTCTCAGTGTTTAGTGACTTAATGAATCTTTGAATAAAAATTATAAAAGATGCTCTGGGAACCATTAGAGAACATGATTGCATATGTATGATTTGAACACACACACACACACACACACACGCACACACAATCTTTTTTTTATTTGGGAGACACCACATTTAATGTGATTCTATGCACACCTTTTTCCCCAAAGCAACTTCATTTATTTATTTATTTATTTATTTATTTATTTATTTATTTATAAATATCTTTTTATTGATTTCAGAGAGGGAGAGGGAGAGATAGAAGCATAAATAATGAGGAAGAATCATTGATTAGCTGCCTCTTGCAAGCCCCACACTGAGGATTGTTGAGCCTGCAACTCAGGCATGTGTCCTAACCAGGATCAAACCCTGATCTCCTGGTTCATAGGTCAATGCTCAACCACTGAGCAACGCCTGCTGGGCATAAGCAACTTTATATCAGAATTCTATATCAGAGTTAATTTGTGTTGCAGGTGGAAGATACTCCGCAGGAGATATACTCTGGAGTCTAGGGACACCTGAGTGGAATAGACACAAAAGGTCTGGGCTGTGGACTCTGGTTGCTTAGATAGCAATTAAGCCCTCAATAGAACAAGTTAACTTTTAAACCCTGTAAAATAAGGGTAAGATAGTATGACCTACCTTGTATGGTTGTGGGAATTAAGAGAGCTAAGTGCATCACAGTATCTGGCATATACTACCTATCTGACATCGGGGATACACTCCTCCTCCCTGTTACTAAAGTGTAAAATGAGAAGGGCTAGGAGTCTACTTGATCCCCAGATTTTCAGGTCTAACATGCTCTATCTTATTGCTTTACTTTTGAGTTGGCTCTATTTGATCCCTGTTCCCATCTCTGTTCTTACCCCTAGTCCTTAATTTCCAATTGGAAACCTATACTTTCCCATTCCACTCCATTTGAATTATGAGGTTTCGCCCTTTTTGTTCTGCACACAATCTATTCCCTTAATAAAAACAAGTCATTAAAAAATAATTCCCCCTCCTCACTGCCGCTTCAGTGCCTGCCGCCTATGGGAAGAAGCCAGACAATGGTTCAAGGCCACAGTTGCTTTGGCATGAGGCATTGTGAGAGACTCAGGGGGTCGGGCGTGCCATAAATGCAAAACCACGAATTAAAAAATAATTTAAAATTGAACGTTTTCAGCCCTAACTGGTTTGGCTCAGTGCATAGAGTGTTGGTCTGCGGACTAAAAGGTCCCAGGTTCGATTCCGGTCAAGGGCATGTACATTGGTTGCGAGCACATCCCCAGTGGGGGGTGTGCAGGAAGCACCTGGTCTACGTTTCTCTCTCATTGATGTTTCTAAGCTCTCTTTTCCTCTCCCTTCCTCTCTGTAAAAAAATAAAATAAAATATTACAGTAAAAACAAGCAAACAAATATATAAAATTGAACGTTTTCAGGAGCTGAAACCTACATGGGGCAGACACTCTGCTCCCAGAATACTTCACTTCAGCGCAGAGCGGTGCATGCCGGGAGTTGTAGTCCGACGCTGGAGCACGCACCCGCGTGCCCTCCAGTTTGAAACGTTGGAGACAGGGAGGGTGGGCGGGGCGTGGAGGCTGGCGCGCGCTCTAAGCCCCGCCCCTGCCGCTTCCGTTCTCGGGTTTGCGGGGGCGGGAATGGCGCGCCCGGCCCTGGAAGGGGCGTGGCTTCGGTTCCGAGAGGCGGCGGCGGCGGTTGCGGCCATCAGGGCCCCTCCCTGCAGGCGGAGCTGCTGCCGGGGCCGGCCGGAGCGGGGCAGTCATGGTCCCCCCTTGAGCGGGCCGCGGCTGCGGGGCGCGGGGTGGGGCGTGGCCGGAGGGGGCGGCCCGGCGGGGGCGGAGGCGGGGCCGGGGCGGGGCCGCCGCTGGCCGCGGCTTCCTCTGCATGTGGCTCCGGGCTGCAGAGCAGCAGTTCCGTCCGCGCCCTCCCCGCCGCCGCCCTCCGCCTCTCCCCGGGGCTCTCTTCTCGTCGCCGGAGCCATGGCGTTGGCCGAGACCCACCCGGCTGCATCCTCGCTGCCCAACGGCGACTGCGGCCTCCCCAGGGCGCGGCCCGGGGGGAACCGGGTCACCGTGGTGCTCGGCGCGCAGTGGGGCGACGAAGGCAAAGGGAAGGTGGTGGACCTGCTGGCCCAGGACGCGGACATCGTGTGCCGCTGCCAGGTGAGGCGGCGACCCGGCTCCGGCGACGACGGGGAGAGCCGGGCCCGGGAGGGAGGAGTTCGGGCCCAGAACCTGGGATCGATCCCCTCTCCAAAACCCGGGATCCCCTCTCCAGAAACTCGGGATCCCCTCTCCAAAAACCCGGTGTCACCTTGAGCTTAGCTTCCCTCCTCTTGGCTGTGAGCCGCGGCGACCTGGAGAAATGGCGGGAGGGCAGAGACCCCCTCCTCCCTGACCTGGGTGGGGGTGGAGGGGGTCTCGGGCTTGCGGGCTTGGGGTGGCTCTGCAGGGAAATGCGGTTTGAAGGGGGGAGCCTTGGAGAGATGATGCGCGATGCCAGGCCGGGGAGCAGGGTCCGGGCTGGGGCACCAGTTCTCAGCTCAGGACGCGGGGATGGATGCGGGGCGGGTTGGAGGAGCTGCAGCCCGAGGCCTGCCTGCTCCTTACTTCGCCATCCTCCTCCTCCATCACCCACCCATCCACCCACCCACCCACTCGGGAATCAGGTGGGTGTGGATCGTTCCGAAATGCCCCGCAATCTAGACCCACCCACCCACCCCGGCCCGCACCTGCAGGCCCGGAGCGGGCAGAGCCTGGCCTCCTCGCGGGGCTGTGGACCCGGTCATAGCCCCGTTGTTGGGCTCCCTACTTACTCTGCGTGTTAATATTAAACGGGAGATTATTTTCTTCTTCTTTATTTATTTATTAAGGTATTATATGTGTACATATCTTTGTACATATCTTTCCATGGCCCCCCCCCCCCCCCGAGTTTTTCATCCATTGGTTTTGCTTATATGCATGCATACAGGTCCTTCGGTTGATCTCTTAAGGGGGAGGTTATTTTCACTTGTGGGTCCCCGGAGGGCGGAATCTCCCAGTTCTTTTAACGAGCGACGCAAGGAAATACAGGATGTCCAAAAGCTGGTTATTTAGAAATATTTACCTTGTTACGCTGACATTGAAAGCGAACTTTGAGGGGGGAAACGGAATGGTAATCATGTACTTCCTCCTGAGAGGCACGTGGTGTTCGGGGTAAGCTTTCTTCCTATTTGTCTGTTTGCCTCCAAGTACCTAGCCTGGAGGCTAGGTTCTTTGTAAAGGCTCCTGTTACTATAACCAATTTCAAAATTCGGGCGAGTTGAGCAAGAGCCCGTTTCAAAACAGACTGTCATGTAAGGTCGGAAGCCTGCTTTTCGTTCGCAGCATGTTTCTTCTTCGTGAACATGCATGGCACAGTAGGATGATGCCATGTTGTATGTGTTCTGACAAGTTCGTAGGCCCCCTTGATGGGAAGCTCTCGGCCTAAAATTGAATAAATACCATTTGAGCGTGCAGAAACAAGGAAGTAGAAAGCCAAATACAATCATTCTAACTTACTTTGTGGTTTTTGTTTTGTGTGTTTTTAAAAATATGTATTTTGTATTGATTTCAGATAGGAAAGAAGAGAGAAACATCCATGATGAGAGGGAATCATTGATTGGCTGCCTTCTGCATGGCCCCTACTGGGGATCCAGCCCGCAACCCTGGGGAATTTATTGAACCTGGGACCCTTTAGTCTGCAGGCTGACACTCTATCCTCTGAGCCAAGCCAGCGAGGGCTGTTTTGTGTTTCTTTGCATGCAGAAATCTACCCATGCAGAAATCCACCCTGGCCATTCTTCAGCTAAGATAGTTGCCCAACTGGCTCTAAGTATTCTCATTAGCACCACCATCTCCTCTCCCTCCATTCTGCTCCTCCGGCAACACACCTACCTTCTTACTAACACACCTGCCTTCTTACTAACACTCCTGCCTTCTTACTAACACACCTACCTTCTTACTAACAGACCTACCTTCTTACTAACACTCCTTCCTTCTTACTAACACACCTGCCTTCTTACTAACACTCCTTCCTTCTTACTAACACTCCTACCTTCTTACTAACACTCCTACCTTCTTACTAACACACCTGCCTTCTTACTAACACTCCTACCTTCTTACTAACACTCCTGCCTTCTTACTAACACACCTACCTTCTTACTAACACCCCTACCTTCTTACTAACACACCTGCCTTCTTACTAACACTCCTTCCTTCTTACTAACACTCCTACCTTCTTACTAACACTCCTACCTTCTTACTAACACACCTGCCTTCTTACTAACACTCCTACCTTCTTACTAACACACCTGTCTTCTTACTAACACACCTGCCTTCTTACTAACACTCCTGCCTTCTTACTAACACTCCTACCTTCTTACTAACACTCCTGCCTTCTTACTAACAGACCTACCTTCTTACTAACACTCCTACCTTCTTACTAACACACCTGCTTTCTTACTAACAGACCTACCTTTTACTAACACACCTACCTTCTTACTAACACTCTTACCTTCTTACTAACACACCTGCCTTCTTACTAACAGACCTTCCTTCTTACTAACAGACCTACCTTCTTACTAACACTCCTACCTTCTTACTAACACTCCTACCTTCTTACTAACACTCCTACCTTCTTACTAACACACCTGCCTTCTTACTAACAGACCTACCTTTTACTAACACACCTACCTTCTTACTAACACACCTGCCTTCTTACTAACAGACCTACCTTTTACTAACACACCTACCTTCTTACTAACACTCCTACCTTCTTACTAGCACTCCTGCCTTCTTACTAACAGACCTACCTTTTACTAACACTCCTGCCTTCTTACTAACACACCTACCTTCTTACTAACACATCTACCTTCTTACTAACACACCTACCTTCTTACTAACACTCCTACCGTCTTACTAACACACCTACCTTCCTACTAACACCCCTGGAGGTGTTGGCCTTGAACTGCTGCCTCACGCTGCCTTCGAGTTGCTCCAGGAGCCCAGCCTTCGCTTCCTTTTGTCTTCAGACCAGATCTGGCCATGCTGTTGGGGAGGAAGTCTGGGAATACACACCTTGCTGGGTAGAAAGAGGGAGCCCGGCCTGTTCGCTCCTGCACGCACTCCTGCCATCTTCCTATCTGGAAATAGTTGGGCTCAGGTGGAGCTACGTTATGTAGCTGGAAAGAAGGTTTTGGGAGTGGTATCACTATACCATTTATTAGAGAAGATCTCCAGTTTTAATAGCAGCATTAGTTTGTAGATGGGTTACTGTAGAGTAGGCCTGAAGGAGGCCCTGGACCAGTCTGCTCTGCTCTCCTGGGAAGGTCTGGAGGGAATGATTGACAAGGAGCCAAGGGTGGCTTTCCAATGTGAGCTGCAGACAGAGGAGAAACAGGTGAGCACACTTGTTAGGCAGGCTTGCCTCACTTGTAAATTTTTTTTTTTTTTTAAATATATTTTATTGATTTTGTACAGAGAGGAAGAGAGAGGGATAGAGAGCTAGAAACATCGATGAGAGAGAGTCATCGATCAGCTGCCTCTTGCACACCCTCTACTGGGGATATGCCCGCAGCCAAGGTACATACCCTTGACCGGAATCGAACCTGGGTCCCTTCAGTCCCCAAGCCGACGCTCTATCCATTGAGGCAAACCAGCCTCGACCTCACTTGTAAACTTTTGACTTACTACCTTCCTTCCATCATCCTCAAATCTTTATATTCCTACAGTGTCTTTTCAGAGCTCATATTTTGAGTTTGGATTGCCTTATTTGATGATTCAAGTTTTGTGGATTGTTGAAAATAGGTACTTTGTTAGAATTTAATATTTAATATATTTTTTGTGTGATATTTATCCCATAAACTCAAATTTTGTACAGATTGTTTCTTCAGAAGATGTATGTACATCATGTATTCATGTCTCAACAATGGAACCACAAAATAAGGAATTTCTTTCAATATAAAATACAGTTTGTAAAAGAACTGGCCCAGCCAGTGTGGCTCAGTGGTTGAGCATTGATCTGTGAACCAGGTCATGGTTCAGTTCCCAGTCAGGGCACATGCCTGGGTTGCGGGCTCCATCCCTAGTGGCGGGGTATGCAGGAGGCAGCCTCTGTTGGTCAGTGATTCTCATCATTGATGTTTTTAATCTCTCCTTTTCTGAAATCAATAAAAAGATATTAAAAAAAACAATAACTATGTTTTTCTTTTTGGAAAGAATGGATGTAAAGCCAATGGCATTTTTATCACCATAGCACTTAAGGCCTGTGTTTCAGATGCAGGATTTATAAGGAATTGTTTATAACTTGGTAGATACTCTTGATATATGCGCCCCTGTGTTCATTGCAGCATTACGCTCAGTGGCCAGGCGTCCTTCACTAGGTGTTTGGATAACGAAGATGTGGTCCCTCTCTTCTGTAGAATACTACCCAGCCATGAGAAAAGATGAAATACTTCCATTTGTGACAACATGATGGACATTGAGAATATTTTGCTAATGAAATAAGTCAGAAAAAGCTAAGAACCATATGATTTCATTCAAATGTGGGACATCAAACTGAAACTCATAGGCAGACTCAAGGGGAAGGGGAGAAGATGTAAAGAGTAAAGGGGGCCAAATACTAGAATATGGTGACAGAAGATGACTTGACTTTGGGCGGTAGGGTAAAAAGCTGAAAAGGGCAGAGACTGTGTCTACATGGAGCATATACACTGAGTGGCCAGATTATGATGATCTCTGAACACATAATAATCTGGCCACTCAGTGTATATCCTATATAATAAAAGGCTAATATGCAAATTGTCCCCTCGACCAGCAGGCAGGCCGGCCAACTGCCCATGTCCCCTCCCTCTGGTCAGGCTGGCCAGACCCCACCCATGCATGAATTCATGCACCGGGCCTCAAACACACACACACACACACACACACACACACACACACACACACTCTGAGTAGCTAGATTATTATGTGATCATCATAATCTGGCCACTCAGTGTAGTCCGTGGATCACGGGTGGTCCATGAGGTCCGAAAGGTTGTTGACTGCTGGTCTAGTGGACAGCTTACGGAAACCAGTATTGCCAAGGTGGGGATGGAATAGGCTGCTACTACAGGTTTGCCCAAGGGTCAAAGTAAGGGTATGGG